CCCCCACACAATTGCATGCATATTCCGGAAAAGGACAACGAGGATGTCGATCGTTGCATGACATGCATGCTTATATAAAGTTGTCGAAACTCTTTCACGTAAGTACTGTTGAGCATGAATTTTGTTACGGCCGTTTCTAATTTTATTTATTTTATTTTCTAAGAGTTTGAAATGATCAAAATGCTTTTAGAGAAAAAGTGTTGACCTCAATGGACTTTTTAGGCTTGTGACACATATGACTTATTAATTTAGCATACTCTTGTAGTATTTGTGTAAACACTAAATTTATGTGACAAATGAGGTAAGAACATGTGTACAAAATAATATTTGTATTAATAAATTTGTAGGTTTAGGGGTTACAATTCTGTTTACAAAACTTGAATCCTCTTATTCGATCTCCGAAGATGTAAAGTGTGTGTGTTGTTGATCCAAGGAACACAATGACTGGATCTTGGATGAACGGATGCCTCAAGGGTTTGACTTGTGGCGATGGAAGAATCGGCGCGTGTAGTGGTGCTTGACAATTCTTCACATGTTTAACGAAGAACGCAGAGAGTTTTCTAAGTCTTTTAAGTGTTTGGGGATTTAGGTTTTTGGGAGCTTTAGAGCTTCAGAGTTGAGGTGTGAGAATGATTTTATGGACCCTTTTGTTTGTCTTGGAGCCTTGTATTTATAAACTCTCTAAGTTTTGCCTACGGATGGATTTGGCCTTAATTAATTGACGAAAGAACCAGGACTTAATTTGAGGCTTGGTTCATGATTTGACTCCATCAATTAATTTAAATCAATTAATTTGTTTTATTTAAATTAAAATTAATTAAAGAATTAGTAAAGATAATTCTTTAATTATTTTCCGCTAAATGTCGTCGAGTGACGCCCTTAGACTTGTTCGGTTTTGATGAGTCACATGCCATGTGTACAATTTGTGAGACACACGGCACATGCTACATAAGCTTGGCATGTCAAAATTTAATGTGTTGGTAAACATTTATTTCACCGAAATTTCAATGTCTACAAATGCCCCCACTTCAAGGCGTGGCATATACATGTGCTTGTCATGTGTAGAAGGTGCATTTTGAAGTCCCTCCGCATAGGGATTGTACTTTGACCACTATGCTTTGAAGTCCCTCAACATAGATGTTTATTCAAGGTCGTCGAGACTTGATCTTGAATTGGGTTGGAAGTTTCTTCAAAGGTGGTCGAAGCTTAGTCTTGAACGAAACGGGACCACGAGGAGTTTCATGTGGTTGTGGTTAGTGAGCTTCAACTTTGGTAGTTGATGAATCGGCACGCATTTGTTGTGCTTGTTGACTCTCCATGAGTTTGATGAAGAACACTAGTGTTTGCTTTGGCCAGAGAGCTTTCTGTTTTCCTCCAAAGGTTTTGCCTTGCTTCATTTCTCTGGAGTCAAAATTGATCCAAGGGTGGAAGACACTTGATCTTGAATCAAACTTGTGATTTCTTCAAGGGTCGTCGATGCTTGATCTTGAATGAAATGGGACCACGAGGAGTTTCATGTGGCGATTGACCTTTGGCTTTAATGTGGATGAACCGGCATGTGTATTTGTTGTGCTTGGTGATCCTCCACGAGCTTGATGAAGAACATGACTGTGAACCTTGAAACATAATTCATGGACTTGTGATTTGAAGTTACCCTCAAATTGAGTGATCTTATGCTTACTTAGGATACACCATTTATATGCCATGGATGTAGAGACATATGAGGACTCCTTGAGACGGACATGTAATTTAATTTAAGGCCTACCCTCTCCTTTTGGACGTGTATCAGCGCGTAGAGACGCATGCCGACCTCCAGCCTGTGTGTGAAGCCATGTGCCGGCGCATGGAGGTATACTACAATGCCGATGGGTTTTGGACACCGAAAATGGTAGTTCGATCATCATTTTTCAGTAATCTTCATAGTATTCGATGAGTTTACTAAGTAAATATTGTTTTACTTTAGAAGAAATATCTCGTAGTTTACAAAGAGCATGCAAGGTAAGGCTATTACGACCATACAAAGTATCTGTGAGTAGACTTTTGCTTTAAACTATATAATGTGTGTGTGTGTGTAATCGAAACTAGTTTTATGTGATGCTTTTATATCATGCTTTGCATTTACTTAGAATATGCAAGTGTTAAAATCCGATGACGACGATGTGATTTATGAGCTTGAGAACCTTTCTTGGGAAACATTTTTCTACTGTGCATTACTTTTGGAATTGCAATTCTTTATGCGATGTTATGATGTGTGACACTATTGATTTGAGAGATTATGCATGACATGTTTTCATATGATTTATCCGACCATCATATATAACCTGTTTATAGTAATATTTGGGCGATGACTAACTTCACATGTATGTTCACATGCATCGTTACACTTACATTAAATCCATTGTAGGTGGTAACCTGTACTAGTCTGCATTAGGCAACTAAGACTTGTATCTGAAGCGCTAAACGCCAATTGCACGCATATGTAGTACTAGAGTGTAAATACACTTAGCCTGTTCATGTCAAGATATCTCTGCATAAGCTCATGTGTTTGCATTATCTGATGACCAAACCATATCAGTTTTATTGATGATTTGTGATTACCTGCTTACTTAGAATATTAGTTTTTCACTGATGCCATGGTATTTCATAGTTATTACGGTTTAGACAAGTTTTTAAAATTCGTGATTTACAACTGTAGGTTTCTTCCGAATGAATTTATATTGAGAATTTACATGATTTACCCGTCTACTTCGATTAAATAATGTTCCACTATTGCCTTGGTTTTCGTACTTATGGTGTGGTACGAATTTGTTTATTATACAAATTTTTTCAGCAAGTATGTTAAAAAAAGATAAATGATTTTTAGAAATCTTTATTTTTGCCCACTCTCACCTTTTGTTTTGCACCTCTTCAGGATTTAGTAGGCTTTGGAACTTTTGATGCCGATGCATTGTGGCATAATTTTCCCTCATAACTAGGTTTTAGAAATGATGGATAGTTATGACTTGCCACCAGTTGTCCCTTTTAAAAAAATAAATAAATAAATAGTATTGAATGCAGAAAACATGTTTGGGGCGGACTTGGTAATGAGAGTATTAGGGGTTGATATACATACCTTTTTGCCCCTATTTATTATTAGCAACACTAGTTTTAAGTGCAATTAAATAATCCACTCCTCTTTACTATTAGATGCAGAGTTTTTTCATTTTTTGCCCCTAATATCATCTAATAGATGCAAAACTAATGCCTCTACTTCTTCTTAGTTTTGTAGTGCATATCATGGCTTCGTCAGCTTCCAGATGTCGACCAGCATGCTTGGATTTTGGCATCCACCTAGATATCCGGATCCGAGTGTGTCAAATTTTACTTTGACGAGAGGGGTCTTGCATGTGCTTAAAATAATCGCTTTACTCTCCATTTTGTTAATTGGTTTCATTGTAGAGCGTCAATTATCTTCAAATGCTAGCATCAATCACTTAAGCATGTGTACGTGATTATGGACCGTTGATGTGATCTAAAACTCATTTGCATCAATAGCCGACACTGCTCTATTCAAATAAACAATTCAAGACGGTGCAAATGCAAAATGTAAGTCACACACCTTTAACATGAACTTTCAAGATATCGTCGTGTCAACCTATTGAACTCTGAAACTAGCAAATTTTAATTTTTCACGTGTATGTTAACTAGTCATGTAGGGTTTGTTTCAATATATTTATATATTGGAGCAGAGGGTTGTAGAAAACTTACTTGAAATAAACAGATGTTAATGCAGTAAAAACTGTCGTAAATGTCCTTATGTCGGAGGAGATATATCATATTATGGTAAATAATTGCACGACATCATTCAAAATTTGCAACGTGACCCTTGCTTAAGTAGGTCCCAAGCCCTATAGAGAGGGATGATGATTCTCTTAAGATCCTCATATTCTATTTGTTCATAATACATTGTGCGGTCAGAAATTCTTAGGTAATGATTGTGTTTAATTAAAAAAAATTCAAAATAATGTATAACCGCATAATGTACGATAAATGGATAGGATGTTAGGATCCTTACAAAAGGATCCGGATGGGATCCTAATCCGAGAGAGAGAGAGAGAGAGAGCGAGAGAGAGAGAGAGGGAGAGAGAGAGAGAGAGAGAGAGAGAGAGATTAAATTGTAATTGGGACCATTTGATTGGATTGATTTTGATCAATTTAAGTTGCTAGGTCACAAATAATTAAGTTGGTTTTTACAGCTTCCATTTGGGAGACAGCTTAACGCCTTCACGTTCCCTTCCGATCCCTTCATCATATTCCTCAGTTTAAACCTTATATATCTTAGTACAACTGATCTACCAGTCATTTTCCTTTCTACCTTTCCCGCATTTTCCCGGAAAATTCCAGCACCGTGACAAAATCCCACACTCAAAACCCACTAGTACCCTTGTGGAAATTCCACAGCTTTCTCTGTGGCCAAACAGAACCACCCATGTATTGGAATCTTCCATTTTCATTTCCACCAACCTTGCTTTCCCTAAATTTACGGAGAGCATTTTTGTTCACCACCCTAAACTTTGGTGTATGATTACCATACATCTAATCATCTAACACGTATCCTTTCAATTAACTTTGGTTAATTTTTTTCAAAATTGAAAAAGTACAACATCTAATGTGTGACACATGGAAAATAAATTAGGTGTATGGTAAGCATTTGTTTATTGACATTTTCCATTAAAAATAATAATAAAAAGTAAAAAGTCATACACAAACCTCAGTAACTAAGGATACTAGAGCAGTGTGCTTCGTCTTCTACACTCAATTACGAATCTCCTTTTGAAGAATTTAGCATACAACATCGCTTGTATTAAAAAACATAACTAAAAACTCTATATGCATAGAAAGTAAAAGGAATGCTATCCTAACAAACATCATTTTTAGCATCTTACACATTTCTCTTTATTTATGGTCATCGAATTAAATAAATTAAACGGAAACAACATATATGCATAAACAGAGGTGGATAAGATGCTAAAAATGATGTGTATAATTATCATTTTCCAAATAACATATATATAGATATAGGCCAATTCATGCTCCAACAGTGCATGTAATAATAATATAATGTGACTAAAACTCATCCAGACTAAGACTGAAATTTTAGGGAAAGATTTAAAATAGATAACGTCGAGATTAACTAATTAATTCCGTATGTAACTAGTTAATTAACTGAAAATTAAGTCTTGATTATTCCTTCCTGGCTAGCTAGCTCATACTATTCAAATTTGACCAACTTGAGAAAAAAAGTGAGCTGAAGAGCCTGAAGATGTCGTAGCGGCAGCATTTTGGTACGGTGCTCTTTGCCTAAAACAATCCAACGTCATTCGCGGCGGCGACACTGCCACGGTCACCGAGGATACAGAAAGAGCAGCCGACTCCGGTGGAGAACCTACAAAATCAGATCCCAACAAACCAAATCAAAGAATGCATGCACGGATTAATTAGTGAATAATTCAGATTGAATGGTACATTACTTGCAACATTATCTGAGGATGAATTCCGGGCCTTTTCCAGCGGTGGTTGTTGTTGATGCTGTGAGTTGTGATGTTCTTGAATCGTTTGCTGAGTTTTTCGCCGTCGGCGATTGTGATCGGCCAACCTCTTCCGGCAGCTGCGCTTGCCGTTGTCAAACTCGGAGAGAAGATGGAATCTGCAAGAACAACAACATTTATCACATAACATAATCAAAATACAGCATCTAATTATAATAATTGTTTAATTAGTTGTTGGTTAACTGTCTAATTAAATAATAGTTTTGTACGTAATTAGTAAACCACAGAGTCCATAAATGGAAAGTGCAATTATCAAGAAGAGTCAAATATTTTCGCACGGACACAAATGCCCTCGGGATTTCCACACGTACGGACCCCCCCAATCATTGGTCATGCACCCCAACATGATTCGCCCCCATGGCCATTATCGTCAAACTACAGAAGGACCGGGGCATTCTTGTCCTTTCGGACCAGAGAAAACCCCGCTCGCCAGTCACGAGCAAAATTTAAACGGAAACGGAATAGTGTAGGACGCAAATGCCCTCGGGATAGACCCCGTGTACGGGGTACGAACCGCCAATAATTGGCGGGGATGGGGAGAACAAATAGCGCAAAACCAAGGAGCACTTTCGTCATTTCAAATATAGCCGTTGCCATTGGAGGGAGGGGTAATTGTTGGACCTGCTGCACTGCTGGCAGAATCGCTGAGTCAACCCGTTGGCGATGACGGTGGAGGCCTTGGAGTGGAACTCGCAGACCTTGTGGCGCCGGTGGTAGTGCTTGGAGTGGGAGAGGTCGGCGGCGCAGCCCTCGGCCTGGCAGCGGGGCGAGTGGGTCGAGGTGATCTCGGAGCCTGGCCTGGACCGGCGGTAAAGCCGGTTCATGAAGTCGTCCTCGGACGCAAAGTAGGTCCGGCCGCCAAGGTTGAGGCCGATCCTGGAGGCGAAGTCTACGGGCGGGCACATGTCCTCTGACTTGGGGATCAGCATAAGCCCATTGGCTGCGCCGCCGTGGACTGGGTCGAGCCCGAGCATGGAGTGGTGCTGGTGCTGGTGGTGGGGAGGCGCGTAGGTGGACGCGCTGGCGTAGGCGTGGGGGTCGTAGATGGAGTGGAGCTGTTGGGCCTGATGGTGGGTAGGGTTAAAATGGTTGGCGAAGGTGGAGGTTTGGTGGTGAGGCTGCGGCGGGGGAGGAGGAGGAGCGGGGACGAGGTTGTTGAAGGCGGAGGCTTGCGAGGACGCATAGTGGTCGAGAAAAGTGCTGGCGTGATTGTGGTGGTGGTGGTGTCTGGTAGGGTCGGATCCGTGGATGGAATCGGAGTCGGTGTCGGGCGAGAGCATGACGACGTTGTTGGGGTTTCCCCATTCGTAGTCCAGCATTTCGTAAGGGTTGCTGATGATCCTGTTGTTGGACGTGGTTTCGAAAAATACAAACCTGCAACAAAAAGGTAGAAGACGCGTCAGTTGATCAAACATAAACACCCACATCCACACTCTCTCTTGAATTTTGAGCATATGAATGAATGAAAGTGAGAGAGAATGGTAGTACGTACCAGTAGCTACCTTACTATTCTCCGGGGGCTGTCGATATCTCCGGTGGCTGTCGATATCCTCCGCCTCCACTTACTCTTTGGTCTGGAATCGTGACATTACTGATGGGAATGGGAATCATGGATTCATGGATTCATGGGTGGGATTTGAGTTGAATTCCCAGTTTGGTTAAAGGCTAGCTAGGGTACCTAAAAGGTAAAAATAAACAAAGGAAGGGGAATTGAATTGAGGGGAGGGGAGGGGAGGAAAGGGGGAGTGAAGAAGGAGAGTTATGAGGCGGCTTGCTGCAGCAGACTTTGATTGGTGGGTAAGTCAACAGTGTGAGATTAATATATTACACTTGCACACAGCTCTCCTCTCCTAAATTACCATTTTGTCCCCTTCCTATTTATTTTCTCAAGTATGTCCCACGTCCAAAATCTTGTCTAGTTAAATTCCTCTTATATTGATTCGTTTCATTCACTAATTGCTTCAGGATTTTTTTGACACACATATTTGGCTGCTCACATATCCATTTTGATTAGTACTAAGCTGTTAACTTGTTTTTGAAATTTTAGCTGTAATTTAACTGAAAGTCGTTGAAAATGTTGACTTTTTTTTACGGTGCTCTAAAGTATGAAATACATCTCGAAATATTCTATGCTCTGAAACGCCTATAAATTTTTTGGCAAATATGGTTGCAAAATGCAATGGAATTCTGTGTCCAAGTCCCAACCAGTTACGAGTTAGATAGGCGGACGAGAGGACTTGTTTGGACTTTGGTTTGAACCCTTGCCTCAAACAGTGCTTGCTTGTAAGTGAGTGAGTACTTGTGTGGACTCGTGGGCAATAAGTCAGTCTCTCTCCCTCTCTCTCTCTCTGTAACGCGGTTGTGGTAATAAAGTCAGTGAGGGGACCCACTATCTGTTTTGCCTTGTCGAGTTTTCATCAGTTTGGCGCAGAGGATCATCATCGCCTTTTATCTGCGGGATTTCCTCTCCACCCCTTTATCCTTTGTTTTTACTTTCTTTTTTATTTTTTATTTGTTTTTTTTTTCTTGTTTCGTTTTGATGAGGCTTTGATTTTTGTTTCTCAATTCTTGGAAGAAGAACAAATCAAATCTTAAAATTGTACACATACATTAATTTAACAATTTAAAAAAGAAAATTGTGTTTCTGGTGAGGATTTAGATTCCATCTGGATCCTTTTTGTGAGGATTTTAAGAATCCTAATATTTTATTCGTTCATTATCGTACATTATGTGTTCAGAAATCATTTTGAATTATTTTATTTAAAATTAAACACAAACAGTATTTAAAGATTTTTTGTCGCACAATGTACAATAAACGAATAGAATATGAATATCCTAAAGATCCTGACAAAGAGGATCCGAAGAGGAACATCATCCGTTTCTGGATATGCATGCATGTATGCTGAAACTGATATGGATGAATTTGCGTTGATAAAGACTAAATATCTTCTTCTTCATGTATTTAGATAGATGTTGGATAAGTCTTTTCTTTTCATTCTTTTTCTTTGCGTATTGATTAAACATTAGTGATGTTACTTAGCATGCCTTGTGCATCACTTAAACAAACCTAACATGTGCCTCTAAATCATAACACATTCACAAAACTAATACCAAATTATGTTACTAACTTTCTTTTTATTATGTACAAACAGAAATATTCTCTCCTAAAATACGCTGAAAAAGCATCATATTTGTTATCAATAATCTTAATCGTTGATTCAGTCCAACCTGAGTGGCAGATACACATACAACAACAACAACAACAACAAAGCCTTTTCCCACTAAGTGAGGTATATGAATCCTAGAACGCCATTGCGCTCGGTTTTGTGTCATGTCCTCCGTTAGATCCAAGTACTCTAAGTCTTTTCTTAGGGTCTCTTCCAAAGTTTTCCTAGGTCTTCCTCGACCCCTTCGGCCCTGAACCTCTGTCTCGTGGTCACATCTTCGAACCGGAGCGTCAGTAGGCCTTCTTTGCACATGTCCAAACCACCGTAACAGATTTTCTCTCAGCTTTCCTTCAATTTCGGCTACTCCTACTTTACCTCGGATATCCTCATTCCTAATCTTATCTTTTCTCGTGTGCCCACACATCCAACGAAGCATCCTCATCTCCACTACACCTACGTGTTGATGCTTCACTGCTCAACATTCTATGCCATACAGCATTGCCGGCCTTATTGCCGGCCTATAAAATTTTCCCTTGAGCTTCAGTGGCCTACGACTGTCACACAACGCGCCGGATGCACTCTTCCACTTCATCCATCCAGCTTGTATTCTATGGGTGAGATCTCCATCAAATTCTTCGTTCTTTTGCAAGATAGATCCTAGGTAGCGAAAACGGTCGCTCTTTGGTATTTCCTGATCTCCGATCCTCACCCCTAACTCATTTTGGCCTCCGTTTGCACTGAACTTGCACTCCATATATTCTGTCTTTGATCGGCTTAGGCGAAGACCTTTAGATTCCAACACTTCTCTCCAAAGGTTAAGCTTCGCGTTTACCCCTTCCTGCGTTTCATCTATCAACACTATATCGTTTGCGAAAAGCATACACCAAAAAATATCATCTTAAATATTAAGTTTGTGATCTTCGCTAGATTGCTCCGGTCATTAGTGTGGATAAGTATGTAAATGGATAAAGATAGGAAGCAAACACAAGATGTACGTGGTTCACCCAGATTGGCTACGTCTACGGAGTAAAGGAGTTCTCATTAATTGTGAAAGGTTTACACAGTATATAGGTTCAAGCTCTCATTTAGTGAGTACAAGTGAATGATTTAGTACAAATATTGTGGAAGAATGATCTCGTAATCATGAAACTTTTAAGTACCGAAGTGTGGTATCGTCTTCACTTGCCTTATCTGTCTCATAGGTAGATGTGGCATCTTCTTTGAAAGTACTCTTCCTCCATCTAGGGGTGGTATCTTTAACTGGTGGAGATGCACAAGGTAATGTATCAATTTCACTTGACGCTTACTGGTAGTTTCAGGCTTGGTCAAGCGCGATACAAACCATGTAGTAGGAGTCCCCCAAGTCGCCGAGCTAGGGGATCTGCTGAAAGAGGTGACAGACAAGGTAAGCAATCAGAGCTCCAAGCAATCAGTCCCAGATCAGAAGTTTGATTTCGAGTTCCGGATGATTGTTATCATTCTCCTTATCTTGCAGGTAGCATGAAGGATAAAGAGAAGAAAAGGAGAAAAGGTGATATGAGATACTTTTGCTTTTGAAGAAGTAACTTTCCACAGGCTTATTCTTGAACTGGGCTGGAGGGTTTTCTTGTTTCCGCCAGAGTATAAGGCTGACTGAAGAATTTGAGGGTCAAAACAAGTCCATCAAATCTAGAGTACGTTCGACCCTGCTGATATGGGATACTTTTGCTGTTGACAAAGTAGTGGATGTATCGGCACGTGTTCTGTTGCGCTTGTCTCCACATGCTTCCTTGTATCCTTCTCACTTGCCCTATTTGTTCCTCAGGCAGATGTGGTATCTTCTCGGGAAGCATAAGATGTTGAAGATGAGTACTCGAGAGCAATGGGGCTCCAGGCAGTCAGTTCCGGACTAGAAGCTTGATTCCAAGTGCTGACTGATTGCTCTCTTTCTCCTTGTCTTGCAGGTAAGAACAAGGTCAAAGGAAAAGACAGGGAAAAAGCATGATATGGGATACTCTTGCTTTTAACCCTGATGATATGAGATATTCTAGCTCTAGTGTAGCTTGTTTGCAGAGGTATTCTCGGGGGGAAAGAAAGCTGAGTATTTTGAGAGGCTTCGTTGGGAGTGCCCTCTCAGATATGAGGAAGGGTTAAGCATTTTTGCAGGTCTGCCTGTCCTTTGAGAATGGAGGTCGACATATATAGGAGTCTCCCTAACAAGAATGAGTAATACTATTCTTTTACCCTGCTTGGTCATAGCACGGTAGTGGGAGCTGCCAGCTTCACGTGTTTTAATTCTGTCAGAGCACTTTGAAAAAGTGGTATGTGGTATCTGGAAAGCTGATGTTACGTGTGAAGATTACAAACAAGCTTTATCCAAGGAGATCTGGCTCTCGAAGTTGAGAAAGCGGTGTGAGGATTACAGACAAGCTTTATCTAAGAGGCTCTCGGAGTTGAGAAAGCGGTGCCTCTTCGGTTTTCGAACAAGCAATCCTGTTAGGGATCTGTCTCTCGAGATTCGGAGAACGGTGCCTCTTCGATTTTTGAGAAAGCAATCCTGCTAGGAGTCTGGCTCTCGAGATTCGGAGAGCGGTGTCTCGTCGCTTTTTGAGAAAGTAATCATGTTGGGAGTCTGGCTCTTGAGATTCGGAGGACGGTGCCTCTTCGATCTTGAAGCAAGCAATCTTGTTGGGAGTGTTTTCTCGAATGTGAATAAAGGTTAGGCCTGTTTGCTAGTCTATCTTGCCACGGAGCACAGAGGTTGACACACAGGGACTTTCCAATTATCCAGCAGCGGTCCTGTTCCTTTACTCTTGTGGGTAATAATATGGTAGCTAGACCTTCAAAATTTATGTGTCTAAACTTTGTTAGTGTTGTTTCTTTGCTATTCTTTTACCCTTCTTGGTCATAGCGATGTAATGGGAGCTGCAAGCTTCACGTGTCTAAATTTTGTCAGAGATTTTTGGCAAAGTTATCTATGGTACCCGTGAGCTGATGTTGCGTGTGGAAAGTGGATGATTGAACAGTAACATTCACGTGCTTTCTACTTCACCAAAAATCTTCGACAGAATGCCCGTAATTTCCGCAAAGTTGAGTGTGCATGTGACAGGTGCTGACAAGGCTGAAAAAGCAGGTGCCTCTTCGATTTCTGAGATCAGCCCTCGTGGTCTCTGAGCAGCCCAGCTTTTGAGAAAGCAAGCGCCTCTTCGATTTCTGCGATCGACCTTCGTGGTCTTTGAGCAGCCTAGCTTTTGAGAAAGCAAACTCCTCTTCGATTCCTGAGATCGGCCCTCATGGTCTCTGAGCAGCCTAGCTTTTGAGAAAGCAAACGCCTTTTCGATTTCTGAGCAGGCGCCTCTTCGATTTCTGAAGCTCCATCAAGTGCAGATTTTTATAGAGGCTGGTATTAAGTTCCAAAGCACACTTGAATCTCCACCAGTAGAAGCTCCCTTCTTGCATTTCTAAGATCTTGATTTGTTCGACATCTTTTCTCTTCAACACCTTTGAAAATGTCTGACCCCTCCGACCGTCATTTTGACCTGAACCTTGTTGAAGAGGCAGCCACGCCTTCTCCAGACAACATATGGCGCCCATCTTTCTTATCCCCTACTGGTCCTCTTACCGTTGGGGATTCCGTGAT